TTTATTTTAATTAGTAGTGCAGTCATCCCAGGGTCATGATTTATTCTCATTTCTTTTTAATAATTTTTAAATAGTGAATCCTATAATTAAACCACAGCTTTTAATTTTTAATAGACAATAGCTATTATCATTATAGTAATACAACTTCAAGAAATAGGAAAGCTGCATAAGAGTTCCTAAGTAGCTGTTCAAGGAATTATAAATAGAACTAATCATAAATCCATTTTTACAACTTCTTTAAAAGATTGGAAGATTCTTGCCATGATACTAAGAATTGAATATAACTCAAGACAATTTCTGCCCAGTCATATTCTGAGCTGTTACATTAGGATGTCATGATGGGTTTTACCAATCATTTTATCTTAAGGCACAGATGTCAAACTTGCCAGGTCACATTGCAGTCACATGATGTTTTACGATGTTTTTCCCATTCATGGAGCTGGAATGGGCGTGACCTGCATATGACACATCTGGCCCACAGGCCGCCAGTTTGACACCCCTATCTTAAGGGGTTCAGTCATGAAGAAAGAACAACTCAACTTGAGTAGGAAAATTTAATGAAGGTCTAGATAGAACACAATGTAGAAAGAAGAGTGAATCCCAGAAACCAAAAGGAAAGATAATTGTGGAAAAGACTATGTAAAAACCAGGCCTTCTACTAGTCAATTTTGCTGGTAACTTATCTCTGGATCTCAAAGTTAAATGTCTAGTCATCTTAACAATTGCATACTGTATAGTAGTATTACAGATGGAAAGTTGATTTTTCTGGGCTGCTCTCATACTGTGCATTTTCCAAAAGATTCATTGTTCTCTTTTTAAAAGTTTCCCTCATGATTCTGAGAGAAACTACTTTCCTTCTTCTGTATCTTTGTTCCATTTTTTCCCCGGAGCTCGGAAAATCTGTTTTATTCTTCCTTTTTATTGATTTTCACAGAGCACTAAGCTATTATGTGGCTGGTTTGTCTTGGATTTAGTCGGATGTACGATCATATCCATTATGTCATAACATTACTACAAACCATTAAGCCACTAACCATAATAAGTTTTCGTTTTGACTTAATGTGATGTGCAGATTAGACCTTTGGAACAAACACTATTTAACCTCCAAGAATTAAACTTCCACAGTTGCTTAGTGGCTTTACAGGCCATTTATGTATGACATGTAACAGCTGTTCCAGATTGATACACCCCTTCTATTTAAAATAAATTATATTACTTGAACCTTGCCCACTCTTGGGGCATTGACTTTACATCACATATAATATTTCCATTTAATGTGAAGGAAGAGGATTTTGAAAAGACTGGCAGAACTTTAAGTCTTTTGACTTCTCTAGCAAATACACCAGTTTGATTTGGAAATAACGTAGTTCATTGTAATAATTTTTATAAACTCCACTGTTTTCAGAAACTCTTCAAGTAAAATGTTTTTATAGAACTACCCATCTTTATATGGAAAATCACCCACGTGGATCTCTATCTTGTATGTATGATTTTTAAAGAGAAGGAGGAGGACCACTTGAGATAGAATCTAATTTAGTGAATGATTGCATTTTTATCTTATTCTCCACTGCCACCTTGTGGAACACATAAATCAATTAAATCTGTGTTGTTTCATCCCCAAGATTAAAGAATACCAATAAGAGAAGAACTCAATTTTTGCTTCATGCTTATAAATGTATGATTTTTACTCATTAAAGTTATTCTAATGTTTTGCTTCTAATTTACTTATAAGGCATGGGTGCTAGTTGGCAGTTATCTTTATAAAATAAAATGGACATATACAAAGTATTGTTTATTGTTTTAAAAGTTGAGCAGCAGATTTTAAAACCAAAAACCAGAAATTGAGAAAAAAGATCCTTAGAGATCCTAGAGATTATTCAAAAAGTCCCTCCAAAGTACAAAAAAAGGGTAGAGTTTTATTGCAGTTTGTCATTCTTATACCTATTTTTTTTAATAAAGAGATAAAATGTCCCAAATTGTTTCAAAATAATTTCATGAAAAAGTGTTGCGGAATGTTTGGAAGGCTTTGGTGCAGCAAATTGGAGAACTACTTGCTCCTTTTTATTTTACAGTTTTTCTTTAATCCAAAATCCTTCAACCCCTAAAAATGACTTCCTCGATTTTAGCAGTAAAAGTTAATCAGAATAACAGAATAACAGAGTTGGAAGGGACCTTGGGGTCTTCTAGTCCAACCCCTTGTTCAGGAAGGAAACCCTATACCATTTCAGACAAATGGTTGTCCAATCTCTTCTTAAAAACTTCCAGTGTTGGAGTATTCACAACTTCTGGAGTCAAATTGTTTCACTGATTCATTGTTCTGTCAGGAAATTTCTCCTTAGTTCCAAATTGCTTCTCTCCTTAATTAGTTTCCATCCATTGCTTCTTGTTCTGCCCTCAGGTGCTTTAGAGAATAGCTTGACTCCCTCTTCTTTGGGGCAACCCCTGAGATATTGGAACACTGCTATTATGTCACCCCTGGTCCTTCTTTTCATTAAACTAGACATACCCAATTCCAGCAACCGTTCTTTATATGTTTTGGTCTCCAGTCCCCTAATTACCTTTGTTGCACTTCTCTGCACTCTTTCTAGAATCTCAACACTATTTTTACATTGTGGTGACCAAAACTGGATGCAGTATTCCAGGTGTGGCCTTATCAAGGCATTATAAAGGCATTCAAGTTATACATAACATGTGTTTGTGTGTGTGTGTGTGTGTGTGTGCATGCGTGTGCATGCGTGTGCATGCATGCGTGCGTGCACTCAGAGAGAGAGATGTTTTACTAACCTATATTTGAGGTCTTTAAATCATGATGACATCTGATTCCTACTTGCTCTAGATTAAAGTCCTTGATTGAAAGAGCCCTTTGTTCCTATATTCTTCTGGTGCAAATATCTTTAAGAATTAGTAATTATTGAAAGTGTTTGTTACAGAGGGAAGTGCTTCTCTCACTGACTTCTCAACTATATCATACTTTAACTAGTATAATTTTATGTATTTGCCCACTTGCACAAATCACAGGAAGAATATGCACAGCAACCTCACTTTTCTGCCATGTTCTCATGATGTTGCCTTCCTCTCATCCCTAGCCCACTTATGAGGTGGTTTTACATTGTCCACACTGTATCTGTTCCAATGCTAATATAGAGTTTCCCTTTTAAGCAAGTGACATGCCATGGCAGGGCTACTGAATCTGTATATGATGTGCTTCAGAATCAGGTGAGTCTCAAGAGATGAACTTGTCCCAGCTCATGACACTGTCCTCAAGAGCCATTCTGCTTCACAATGCAAGAACATCTTGTTCTTTCAAACTGGATTCTTCCCTTATAATTGCCAGACTCTAAACCAATCCCTGGCTCAGAGATATAGATCAACACAACCAGCAGCTGACCAGAAGGGGTGTACACTTCCCAAAAACCATTACAAGCTGTTGGTCAGGGATTCATTAAATTCACTTCCTCCCTCAACTACAGGTGGTCCTCAATATATGATCACCATTGAGGCCAAAACCTTGTTGCTAAGCAAGGCAGTTGTTAAGTGACTTGCACCTCATTTTATGACCTTTTTAGCCATGGTTGTTAAGCAAATCACTACAGTTGTTGGTGACTTTCCCCATTGACTTTGCTTGTCAGGAACACCTTAAGGAAGGTTTCAAATGACATTCCCAGAACTCTGGGATGCTGCAATCATTGCAAACACATGCTGTCTGCCAAGCACCCAAAGTTTCATCAAGTGACTGTGGGGATGCTGAAATGGCCATTGTAACTTTGAACTGTCATTAGACAGATGGTTGTAAGTCAAGGACTACCTGTACAGCATACTTTAAGGGGAAGGTGAGTCCCAAAAGGTAGACTCCCCAAAATGAAATCCTTTTCCACTTCTCCCTTATACCCCAATGAGTTTGGAAGGGGATAACTTGAATCTCTTCTTAAACTAAGAATTCTAATAGATTAAAGCTTGAGGGGGGGAGAAGGAAAGGGAGGGAGGAGGAGAGGGAGAAGGAAGGAGAGGGAGAGGGGGGAAGGAGAGACAGAGAGGGTGGGAGAGGGAGAGAGTGAGGGAGAGAAGGAGAGAGGGAGGGAGAGGAATCTTCATACTAAGAAAAACCAATTTGGTGTAGTGGCTAAGGCACTGGCCTAGAAACCAGGACACTCTGAGTTCTAGGTCTGCCTTATCCATGAAGGTCTTCTGGGTGACTTTGGGACAGTTATTTTTTCTCAGCCCAACCCACCTCACAGAGTTGATGTAATGCAAATGTTTGCCACCTTGAGTTAAATATTTAAAAAGTTGGGATAATAAATAAATGCTATCTTCTTTCCCAAGACTTAAGGAATGCTTCTCTCTTGATTGGTTTCATAATGGTTTCTGAATATTGACTTCAAAGCAACCTCACTGGTTCTCTGTTGGTAGATATTTTCCTGTCAGCAGGTGAGAATTGGTGGGAAGGAAGAAAAGAAAGCTGGGATAATCTAACAATTACTTTTCTTAATGTGCCCTGTCCACCGTAAATAAGAGCTGCATTTTCTAGCATCGTGCCTGGGCAGGATAGGGGTCAACTCATCAATTGTTACACCAGGATAGTTTTCTGCCAGCTTAGTCACAGATAGTTGGCACTTTAATTTAACCATAAAGAAGAGTCCCATATCTGTTTCAGAAGAAGCCTGAAGGATCTATCATTTCAGTAAATGGATCTGGCAGGTGGCCCTGATGGATCAATTATAAAAGAGTACATAGCTGTAATGCAGAAACATCAACTTCGTTCCCTTCTTGTGAATTACAATGCTCCCATTCAGTTTTTTCCCCCAGATAGAAAAATTGGGTGGGGGGATTCTAGGACTTGTAGCCTCCACATGTGTAGGTTGCCAGGATTGTGAAGGTTTTCGTTTCACATTACCATATGTGAAAATATGTGTTTATAATATGTATATCCAGGTTGCTTTTTTAAAAAAAATCCTTATTGTTATAAAATGAACAGATATTAATAAGAAAAAAGGGACACCTACCAATTTCAACGGGGAGGTCTGTAATCTGATTACTGGATAATTCGAGAATTTTCAGTGACTGAAACAAGGCAATGTAACTTGGAATGCTTGAGATCTTAGTGTTGTTTATGTGCCATTCTTTTAGGTATGTTTTCTCTTTCAGCCAATCGGGTAACTCCTAAAAAAAGAAGATTTGGGACAGTAAGGAATCTTTGGCAACAGCAGCATTTCTACCTTCCTCTCCTTCACAAAGCCATTTGAATTAAGCCACACTCATTGGCTATGAATGACTTTTTAGGACATGAAGCACTGTTTTCTCCTTTAACCTCCTTGACTTGTAACAGTTCATTTAGTGACCATTCAAAGTTACAACGGCACTGAAAAAAATGGCTTATGACCATTTTTCACACCTTTTCAGCACTTGGCAACTAACTCATATGCTCCTGTCTTTTGCTGTTGGAATATTTCAACATAAATTACTATATCCACATCTATTCAGCTAAGATTTTCACTTTAACTTGATATACATTAAAATTAACAATAATCTTTAAAAAGAAATAAAGGAAGCAGAGCTAAAAGATATTCTCATGTGTCCTCTCACAATATCAGTTTGTGATACATCCCCAAAACTGAAATTAAATCCTTGTTGGTGGGCATGTCTATGTTTTTTTCAGATAATTAGATAATATTAATTGAAATGGCTTATAGAGATAATATTTCTTCAGAGTATTAAAACAAAACCAATCAGAGCAACAAACCTTTAACATTTGTAATATAAATAAGGGGAGAGAAAGAGAGGGAAAAGGGAAAGATTATGCAAACATTATTTTAAATATCTTTCCAGATTCTTGCTTACTACCATAGAAATAAATATAATTTGTCAGAGCTTAGACATATCAATCAAACAAACAAACAACCATCTTAGCTCTTGGCATATAAACCTTCATCTGTGGTTAATTTGTGATGGGAATTCAAACATACATCCTTTTGTCTCTGCTTTTTAGTCCCCCCATACTTTTCTATAATCTTCAGTATGCAGATGCCTATGGGAAGCCAATCAATTGCTCTCCACTGTCAATGAGCGAACTATTCACAAATTTCTACAATGTCGAAACTTCATGGAACATGATGCCCAATGAAGAGCAAATAAAGACAAGTTATCTGGGATAAAGTTTAATATCCTATAATGCCTCCCACCCATCCCGAAGGATGGCATATTCTAAACACTCCAAGAGATGGTTCTGTTTAGATTGCTTGACCAAAACAAGAAAGAAAATATATAGGAGATAGAGAAGGTATTATCAGCTGCTGGGACCATGATGGCATGTCAAATGTGTGAAATGTTACACATTATTTTAGCAAAGCCATTGCTGCACTGCCACTTCTACTGTTACCAAACAATTGTGAGAAATACAATACAGTGTAATTCAATTTCTAGGAATGCCAGTTCATCTGGTGCAAAAAAATCAACCTCCGTCTTTCCTTGGTGGTGTCACTACCAATGAGAAGATATCAATGTCAATGTCAATATCATTATCAATGAGAAGAAATCACATTGCAATGGCTGCTAGGTTGCTAAAGATAAAACAGAAAATATTAAGGAGTTGGAGCACCTACTAAAATAAAATATATGCTATGTCATTTACACAAAGAAAGGGAGCAGAGGCAAAATTAATGACTAGCAAGGTTCAGACAAATTTAAAACTGTCCATTTCAATGGTCATGAGCAAAGAGTAATTCAGATAATATACTTACCATCCAGTGTTCGCCTGAAAGTTGAAAAATAAATTTGCTCCTTTCTTTGTCATTCAGCAAGGCAATCTTCTTAATCAGTGGTGAGTTCTTTTCAAGTTTATCTAAAATGCTGTTAGTATCTATGAAACCATTATTCAAATATGCAGTCTGTGGAATGCCTTTTCTTCTGCAGTCTAGCATAATATCCCATTCTTGCCTTATCCTGAAAAAGTACAAATGAAAGCATTTTCATTTTATTCCTGTTCACACACACACACACAGACACACACCTTTCCCAAATTTGCACTTGCATCCATTTCACCAAGAAAAGCTCATTAAGCACTCAAAGGAATTTGTATCCCTTCCTCTGCTGCTAAAAAGGCGGTTTAAGGGCAGGGAAGGGAGATCTCCTGTGCTTAAGAGACAGCCAGAAAAATGATCATCATGGTTACACTGATTGGCTAAAGACAACCATCCAAGAGATCATCACTTCTGCCAGAGGCATTTACATAAATTGGCATTAGGAAGGTACAATCTTCAGTTCCTGAGAAGTTCCGGGACATTTTTGAGATAGCTAAGTTTTCATCCTATACACCCTTAACTACTTTGCCATAACAGCTATACATTATTTTAGTATTCTCCAAGCTTGGTGTCAACCAGACGTATGAACTTGAACTCCTAGATTCTTATCAAAGGATTTGAGAATTGGGGAGTTTGGAAAGCTCACACATCTGCAGGGCACCAGGTTGAGAAAGTTGAATTATACTGATGTCAGTGGGTGATTGGTTCTTGCTTTTCATCCATCTCTGGGATTGAATTAGAAAGCTGTTTTCAAAGCTATCCCTCCTTATCTTTATTTCTTCCCAAACCAATTTTATCCTGATATGTGCAGGAGCAACATGAATGAAAAAGCTGTCAGTTGTGGGTAAACATATGAAGATTATTTCTTCCTTTATTAGATGTATATATTGCCTTTCTGTACCAAGGACTAGACCAAAGCACTAAAGGCACGCTGGTACATTTTCTAAGCAATTCTTAGAGGCCTAAAAGTCATTTGAACATGAGTCTGGAGTCACATCATCATGAAAGATGACCTTGTAGTGGTAGCGCATTGCTGTTTCTGCCACACAAATTAAAGCAGCTGATAAGACTCGGCTGCTATTCTCATGCCTATTTTCTTTTGCTATTTCTACCAAGCACTTTGGTACCCAAAAACAAAACGATGTTGTAGTAACAGTTCTAAATAATAAGAGCCAAAGGTCGCCTTTGCTTGCTGAACAGTGACTTGGTAGCATGAAGGTCAGAGTACAAAAGGGAATTCCCTCAAGCAGGGCAATGGTGAAGAGGTCATGCAGGCTTTACTAAGATAACTGAACAAATGTCCTTCTAGTATTACTGAATAAAAATAGGCTCAGGAGAGTCAAGCATTCTTCATAAGCTATTCATAAGCCACAATTGCCAGCAAACCATAAAGATGTAAAGAAAAGACTTTTAAATCAAAGTACTACTAAAGGGAATGAATAGGTGGGAGGGAGGTTCTTGGAAAAAACATTAACAATTTTCACAAGCCAATACACATTAGAGCAGAATAAAATGGAACCCCATTCAAAATGCAGCAAAGCTTAGAAAAGAGGACGGGACCAAAACAAGGAAGAAAGTGGCCACAAGAAGCTCTGAAGTAGTTGCACACTACAGATTTGCCCGAAATTTCACGCAAAATGAACTGGCTCTATGGGCTTTTTGGAAAGCTCTGGCTGTTCTCCCGGTCATGGAGGCTGGGAAGTTAGTTGAGCCTCTGCAGTATTATTTATTATAGATGAGTTTGTCCTCCGTTGTTATTTTTATATGCTTTTTTGTTTGTGTTATGTTAATATGCATATTTCTATCTTCTATTATTATATAAATGTTTTAACTAGGTTTGCCACCCAGCGTCACCTTGGAGAGAGGGTGATCATATAAATAGAAACAATAAATAAATAAATTATTAGTACCCATCCCCGGTGGTTTGCCAAAATAAAGCCTTAACATAGTGCAATTTAGGTGGATTATAATAAAACATGGGGTTAAAGTAACCTCCATGGAAAACCATTCACAATTGAGGTTCTGTCACTAGAAAACACCAGTCTCACATTCCTGACAGCTGCTTTTGTGTTGATCAGGGTTTCCAAGAATTTTAACACACTTTTTTTTTATTCTATGAGAGTGTCCATATACCTTTGAGTCAGTATCGACTATTGAGCAAGTGAGTCCCTACAGCATTCTTGAAAAGATTTCAGAAGTGTTTTGCCATCGCCTTTTTCATAGAGGTAAGAAAGAATATGGGCCAAAGATAACCTATTTGGCTTTATGGTCTCTTGGTTTCTGACCTGATGCCTTAACCACCATCCCAAATTGACTTTTATCATAAGCTGTAGGCAAATGTGTATATAAATATGTATGCAGCTTATTAATATATATCCTATCTCACAGTCAGTAAAAGACAATTATGAGCAAAGCATTATTTTATTTTTAATTTTGCTTTTCTAATTACTGGACATAACATAATAAAATCAAAACCCTATTACAAGCAGTTAGAAAACTTACATTAATATTACTATCAATACTAAAGCCAATTAGTTTAATTTCTATTCAAGATAGTGGAGCAAGTAAAAGTTGTTTCATCTCAAATGGTAGATTTTTTAAAAACAACAACGTATGTCTCTTCATTTGATACATTCTCTGGTTCACTATATAATTCTGAATAAAAATTTTAAAATTGACCATTTATATCCATTGAAGTTTTATAGATTTCATCTTTCTCCTTTAATAATTGGAATCATTACCCTGTCTTGCTTTTATTTTAAACAATTAGTCAGGATCGTTCTAGGCCTTTCATCATTCTCCCAACATTTCTGTCGTAAACATGTCAACATAAATTCTGCTTAGTGTGATATCATAGTAATTAGTTTGTGTTTCTTTTTCTCTATTTCTCTGTACAAAATGATAGATAGACTTCTAAGCATCTGTGCCCATAAATGTTTATGGGCACAGATTCATATTAAAATTGATGAAGGCCCAAACTAGAGACTGATCCTTCTGGGGAAGGTCATTCTCTCTGGTTGCTTAGAGCCAACATTATCTTGATGGTAAACGTGATGGTCAATGAACTTTCATGCAATGTTTTAAGTAGTGCTAGCAATTGTCTATCAAAGGTAACATATCTAATGTGTTCCTGAATTGTTTTGTTTGCTTGATGGATTTTGAAGCTGCTAACTCCAGAAAAATCAGAAAGGCAGTTTACAATAATTAAAAGAATGCCTAATTTAAAAAGTGACATGGTTTCCCAGACAAAACCATGTAAATAACATTGGGGGGGGGGGGGATTGCCAGGAACTCCACAAACATCTGGAACATCTGAAGCATGGGAAGCTTACATATTTCCAAGGGATGCTGTTCCAGAGGGTAGCGGCTGTGACAGAAGCACAAAGTAGAAATGTATGTATAAATGAAGTCAAAAGCTCTTTCAAAGTGAATGAATGTCATAGATAGGCTTCTTTGGGGAATGATATATACAGTATTTTTCAGTACAATGTCATAAAACCTGGTTGATGTCCTATCCTATACCTGGCCTGCTCCTCAGCAATTATGCTTTTCTTTCTAGTCCACTGGATTCCAAAACAAGTAGCAGCTTATTTATACAATACTTAAGAGCCAATCAGAAGACATTTGGAAGGATTTGACCTGTCTCCTTTTTAAATATAGGAATAATAATAGAGTTATTGTACCTGGTGGGATTTTTCAGTGTGAAGGTTATGACCATGACCAAAATCATCAAAATGGGTGTCAACCAGTGAAGATTTAAGTTTCACAACTCAGATGGGATGCTGCTATTTCCTGAAGTTTTCCCTTTTTCAGTGGTGATATTAGCTTAGTAGCTCCAGTTAGATAACAGATGATCAGTCTGACAAGTCCATCTGTGCCTCTTTAGATTACAATTTCCCATGTGGAGATAGAGATGGGAGCTGTGATTTTGATCCAACACCTTTCATATCCTTTTTTTTCTTTTTTAGCAAAGCTTTATATTCTTTTCTCTTGTTTTGTTCATGAGTAATGGGCAGTCATTATTCTAGTATTAATTGCAAATTTTCAATTAAAGAGTTATTTCCTTTTGCACATTCCTCATCAAACCTTAGTTGAATAATCTTTTGCTAGAGCTCATTTAAATTTGCAAATCAGTAAATGTAATAACAGTACAAACTGTGGTAAGAATCCTTTTGGGGGACTTTAATTAAAGAATTGTACAAACTCTCCCTTGCCAGATTTATATATATAGATTTCCATGTTCCTTCCATCTTCTCAGTCCATTTTACACAAATGTATTTCAGGACTTGAGGACTATTCAATGCAATAAGATTTTTAAGTGTATATAATTTGCCCATTTGAAACCAAATGTAAATTTAAAGTCAAGTGGTCACTAAACCAACTCTGAAATTAAAGATCATATTTATCATTTCATGGGAATCTCACTCCCAGAAAGCATAATATCCAGATATATTATTCTCCCAGGTACCATTCAAGATTAACAAATCTAAGATATTCACCAATTGAGTCAGGAACTATTCTGCAAAGCCAACTCCTCTGTCTCTGCAATTACATATGAGAGGGGGCTTACATCTCTCTCTGGAGTTACACTGTTCATAAAGTACATAATCATTTGTACCAATCCTGGCATTAAATTCTAAGCTAGTATCATCAGGCCCTTTGGCAGCTGTTTATTAAAGTTGCTATATACATTTCTAATTCATGCCTTTTTCATTCACTTGTTTTTGTAAGAGCTTAAGAGGAAAATAAATATAGCTATAACATGGCAAAATCTAAATTGAAAATTTATAACCATAGCAAATGAGCTATATGGATTTTCAATTCAGTCGCTGATGATCTAATTTTGAGACAAATACATAATTCTCCACTTGTATTCTTCTTCTTTATAGATGCAGTAGCTTTGAGAGATTATGCAGTATAATTACCACGCTCTGTTTACCAAGGAACTAACTATGGTTAGTTCCTCTAAGTCAGTGGCCCCCAACCTTTTTCGAACCAGGGACCAGTTTCACGATTATTTATTCTTCCAGGGGTCGGTACCTGAGTAAGGTGAGACTCCACTGCCATTGGGATGGCTCTTCGTTCGAAGCCACCCCACCACTTCGACGAAACTAAGGCGCGAGCACCCAAACACCACTTTCC